GGTGGCTTCACTTATTGGTAGGGACATATGCTCGACTAGGTGTGGATTACCTTTCGCTACTTTCAACTATATGAAACTCAGTCAGTATATAATTGTCAAAGGGTAACAAAGAAATCCCAAAAGTTGCAAAAGATAAAACTAAAAACATCAAGAGATCAACTCACAATTGAAGCATATGATTTCTTCTGAGGAAGATCCTCCTCAGTCACAGTTGCTGAATCATCAACTGTATGAATCTCACTCTGAACAGAAACAACTGGTGGTTCAACAATTCTTCTTCGATCACTGACCCTTCCTCCTTATCAGATGGATCATAGACTTCAGGACCATTATCAAGATCTTCACCTTCAATGGCAATTGCCCGGTCCACTGGAACATGATCGTGATTATGAGCAGGCTCTGGAAAAAAAAAAAAAAAAAAAAAAAAACAGTTCTATAATTCTAGTCTGAAGTTAATTTTAGCATGATCTTTCATGAGAATAGAACTATGCCAACCTGGTGCCTGAGTCACATTGGCTGTTAAGCATTTTCATTAATGTATTATTGAGTCAGAATTGATTTGCAATGATTCACTCTCCTCAACAAATCTAAAAACATCATTCAAGACAAAGTAGCCTTTGTCTTGTGGAGCTAGAAAGAAAGTTTGAGTGAATTTCTTTCTCACATTGTCCTTTCCAGTTAAACATCCAGTCACTAGAACAATCACCCCTTTCTCATATGACTCCTGTGCATCAGCCGTTTTTATTTCTGCTATGCAATCTTCGTAATTCAAGGACAGAATCTTGTCATTGATTGCCTGCTCCAAGTTGAACAATGAAATTTTGTGATCAATTATGCTAAAGCAGAGGTGTAAAAATACAAATTCAATTCAATTTTAATTGAAGGTCATATTTTACCCTAATCAATTTAAACAAACCCCGAAGAATCTGTCATTGATAGCGAGACTGTTGTTTGGATAGGGAACATTGTATAATCTGTACCTTCTTCAAGATATCACTTATCGGATGAACACAACTGTAAAATTATCGAAATGCTTTAAAAATTTTATTATCAGAAACTAATCATTTCCAGGCTCAAAAATCTCTAAAACCTACAACCTTAATTTTTCATCGTCCATTATTTCAAAACTAAGTAGCATTGTTATCAGATTTCTTATGCCTTTGCACATGCAACACAACTGAAATGCATTGCTCACACAATGATCAGAGGATTAATCACTATAATGCATAGGTCCTCATCTAAATAGAACACCACTATTCAACCATGCCAGTTAAATGACCTAATTCAGTGTAACAATGATTGGATCCCTTTAGGTATCAGCTGAAACCTACCAGATCCGTAAATACTCATCTTCAATTGGACAGGATTAGTAAAAAGTTTAAACAGTATGATGCAAAAGATTAAAATTTCAACATGCATTATATAAATTATGTGCAAGTGTATTCCTACCGATCTTAGTTCCTGATAACTTACTTGCATGGTTGTCACTGTTGTCATAGCACCTTTGGTGTCTGGACGGCTTAGCAAACTAGAATCCTGGTAAAATCTGTGCACCAAACCCGGGGACTGGTGAAGAATATGGTAATACATGATCCACAAGGCATTGCCAACAACTTGGGCACTTGGAGCTGCACTGCCTTCTTGCGCTGCCATCTACAGTTAGGAAAACATTAACATATTAGCAAAACAAAATCTATAAACAAAAATCAAATAAAAAGAACATTTCCAAAATGCACAAGGTGCCCCTTTCTGTGAAAAGATTTTTTTTTTTTTTTTAAAAAAAAAAAAGGCTACTATTTATGAATACAAGTAGTTATACTATATATTAAAGGTACTTATAAAATAAACAAGAAATACAAATACAAAACAGAGGCAATTCCAGTGCCCAGAAGACTAAGTAAATTAAGATATAGATGTTTCAGTGTATAAGTGCACACCAAGTTTAATTTCAATACGCTATGAAACCGTGGAATCAAACTGGAATGGAAGGAGAGTTCATAGTTGATCCGTGCCTTGGGTTCAGATAAACTTCATAAAGTAAATAGAACCAAAAGGTAAATCATCACAACTTAAGAAATCTCCAATCTAGTACAGGGGTATATAAACTAGTACCACAACAGCTGAACCGTAAATTCAGAAACAATTTGAAACAGTTTGCAAGCCCAGAAGCCATCAAAAAATGTAAAGGAGACAAAATCCAAGAATGAAGATCTTTTCTATCAACTCAAGCAAAGTGCGAGGTTAACTAATAAAAGCAACAGTCAGAAAGAGCAAAGCACACATACAGACACCAGATAGCTATTTGCAAAGAGAGACAAAAACAGCAAAAGACAAAGATAAAGTAAAAAATGCAACTACCCATAAGAAAAAGTCCACTAAAACAAGGAAAAAATTCACATTTAATCGCAATAACAAACCCTAATTCCATTAAGCACAAAAACCCTGAAAAACCCTAAAGTAAACAACACAAAAATAAGAAAAAATAAATAAAAACAACCCTGAAAGAAAAATCGAATTTTGAAATATGGGTTTGATCCAGATCAGTGAGATAGTACAACAACAATAAGTACAGATCAAAGGAAAACATAAGTAAATGAGGCGAAAAAAGTCGGAAAGAAGGAAGAAGTACCTGGTAAGTGGGTAGTTTGCGGTGAGAGAAGAAGAGGGAGGAGGAGATCTTAAAAGAGTGAGAAAAAGAGAAATGAGCAAGCGTGAGAACGAAGAAAAGGATGGAAGGACAAACAGAGAGAAAAGAGCAGAGATACTGAAGAGAGATTTAAGAGAAAGAGAAAGATGAAAGGTTTTTATTTATATATATATAAATATTATTCTCTTGACAAATATTGTGACATGAGATCAAACACAGAAAGGTCACTTTGGCTTTTGGTTTTTGGTTTTTTTTTTTTTTTTAATAAAGTTATTTGAAATTGGTGATGAATTCAGAATTTGGTATTGACTTCTCTTGGGTTTTTTAGGGTTTTATTAAACTAATTTTCAATTTCATTTTTGGCGTGAATACAAAAGGGTCGGTAAGTTAGATTTATTTTTTATAATTATATAAAAATAGAAGTTGAATAGACTTTTACATAATTAGGTCCTCTATGAACCATTTCATTGATTTAAAAAATCAATTAAATTTATAATAAGGGGTAATTACATTGAGCCCCAATTTTTTTTTTTGAAATGAATAAAAAAAAAAAAAAGATATAAATTTAGGAAAGAGTGACCTCTATATTATTATTTTTTTAATCACAATTTCATCCTTCATAAAAATTACATATAAAACATATAAAAAGAGTTACGACAGGAACCCAAAACATTACTAAAAGTTTTTTAAAGCTAAAAACTTAGACCAGACCTTGGGGACGAAATTGTTATTATTCCTTCGCTAATCAAACCCCAATATTTTTATGAAATGATTAAAAAAAAAAATGTTATAATTTAGGAAATCAAACTATAACCTCTATTTTGTTAAAATCTCTTAATAAAAATTTATAATTTTGGATATGATGTTTTTATCTTCCACATAAATTTAACAATTAACACTAGCCCAAACTTATTAAATTTTTAATTACCAACCAAAAATTGATCAAATTCTATTTACCAACGGTTATGGATAAAAATACACTGGCAAATGAGCTGTCAGTCTTATCAATCAAGGTCAACAAGAGCTAATGAACAAAAATAACATTAGTTATCAAAACCAGATCGACTATTAAGAGCATTTATATCAATCTATCCATTTAAGACATGATTAAGGAGGGGTTTCCAGTGTCAAGACAACTTACAAAAACATTTGTTACATTGGACTAAGCTATATTAATGAGCAACAATCTTCTACAAAGGGGGGTTGGGCGTATGAGAGCTGGGCATACATTCGCGCTTCAACCATTTTTTTTTTTTTTTTATAAAAAAGTATTACTCTCTGTGTATGTCTACATGCGATATCAGAAAAATAGGCGAGAACAATAAAATAGCAGTGGACGTAAGATTGCTTCAAGCATCGAACCATATAAAAATATCTTTTTGTAATCTTTTATTTATGTTTCTTCAAATAATATATCACCACTGCACTATAATCAACATTTCATAATTATCTCACGTGTGACTTTTAGCGTTTTACACATACAAAATTGTTGGTGTCAAATCAAGCATCAACACCACCAATACCCTATTTTGAACAATCATCCATTATACCTTAAACAACCAAACAACCATTCAAATTCAACAAGCAAAATCCAAAAACATTTCTACCTTTTTTTTTTTCCGTATAATCTTACAATATTTAATGTTATAGTTTATGTAAAATGTAAACAAAGTTTATAGATTTACGATGATGTAGAACAATTCAGTAAAACCTCTCTAGAGTCATTATGGTGGAACTAACTAAATTTATATATGAGGAGGTTATAAATTAATAAAGTGAGTTACAAAAAAATCTTTTTTAATTCATGTTTTAATAGTATTAGAGTTTCAATTCAGAGTTTCAGTTGCCTACTTTTGAAACGGTAGAAGATCGTGTCTTGGAAACAACAAAGATAAGTGTCATTGATAAAACTGTACAATGTAGTTGTTGCTAGTCAATTGACTAAAAGGGCAAATAATAAAATTCCTCCAAAAGTTTTGAAATAAACATTAAATTTTAGGTGTTAAAAAAATAAATAAAAATATTCATAAATATAAAATTAACTCATAATAATAAAATTTTTAATGGGTCAATAACAGTGACAGATTTTTTTTTTTTTTTTTTTGAAAAACATTAGGATAATGTTTGTTATTAGATAAAGTCCAGGGGTAGTTTTATTTTTATTTGTTATTTTCTTAAATATAGTAATTTGTTTGCATAAATTGGTAGATTTTTCTTAAATAAGATGGATTCTCATTAACCAATCAAAATAAACATGCAAAAAAGGTACCACACGTATTCTGACACGTGGATGTCCCAGTCATTTATCATCCACTTCTGTGCTGTCCACCACTCATTCAGAATTTCCAGAGAGATTCAATTGAATTGAAGAGAGTATGGAGGCCACAGCAATTTGTGGGAGCAGAAGCGGAGGACTACCATCGCCATGCATCCATTCTTCTTCTCCAAGAACGCCAAATTCATCTGCCCTTGTCATTAAATCCATGGCCACCCAGAAACCTCTTCCATCTGCCACCAAAACCGTCAGCTCCAGAAAGGTCAGTTTCTTACCCTCTTTTTTCTGCCATCGTGACCTGTAGTAGATAATATGAGAGCATTACTCTTGTTTGGGTTGGCCTAGAAGGAAGAATTTTTCTTTTTTACTTATACTATTCTGCTTTTAGTATGTTGTTACTGGTGCTCATAATCAACTGTAAGAACAAAAACCTAGCAGAAAGTGGTATCTGCTCATTTGAGAATTTCAGTGCAATTTTCTCATTTGCCTCATGGTGAAAAATGCAGAACACAGTTGTGTTTCCTCTGGGAGAGCCAGGCCCCAGGAACCGGCCACTGGCGACTAGTCCTCCGGTCAAGCTACTAACAAGAGTGGAGCAACTCAAACTACTGTCAAAAGCTGAGAAAGCCGGCCTGTTATCAGCGGCTGAGAAGTTTGGTTTCTCTCTATCAGCCATTGAGAAACTGGGTCTCCTCTCTAAAGCAGAAGAGTTTGGAGTGCTTTCTGCAGCTACGGATCCTGGAACACCAGGGGCTCTGTTCAGCCTCAGCTTGGGGCTACTGCTTTTAGGCCCCTCTTGTGTTTATCTTGTGCCTGAAGATTATCCATGGCAGGTTGCCTTGCAAGTTGTTGTTGCTCTAGTTTCTGTAGCTGGTGGTTCTGCAGCTTTTGCTGCCGCAAATTTGGTATCCAATTTGCAGAAATAGAACTGAATTTGGTCTTAATGAGTTTTATAATTGATATTGTTACACTTTTTAGTTTTTATCCTCCTGTGTAATTGTCATCTATGGACATTGTTCATTTGTAGGCTGTAGCATCGAGCCAAATAAGAGGCAAATATCAAAACTTCAAACTAAAACATCAACAAAATCAGTATTCATTGAATTTCGCTACTGCTATGAATTTCAGTGTAAATGTGGGCACAAATAAAGGTTGAGAGATGAAAATACAGATGATTTCATGAAAAAAATACATGATTGCACCAAAATACCCTTCCATGTTATGTAAGCTTTTTTATGAAGTTCCTCAAGATAAAATAGAAACCGCAAGAATCCTCTCATAAGCAGGCAGTTGCAACTATAAAAATCAGACAAGAATTTCTAGAATCTTCAAACCCCTCATTTTGTACTGTCAAAAAAGATCTTCTGGACTGTTTCAAGCTGGAACAGAACTGCGATTACCCCCTCCTTGATGGCCACCCCTTCTATTTCCATTCTGATTCACCCGTCCCTCTCCGCTACGTCCACCACTTGAACCCTTTGGTCGCACTGAAAATTCACCCTGACTTCTAAATTCATTCCTACCCTCACCTTGGTTTCTGAATTCATTCCTGCCATAACCACGACCTCCACCAAAGTTCCCACGACCCTTGAAACTATCATTGCGGAACATAACTCTTCCGGAAGAAAACCTACCTCTTCCACCGCCACCACCACTAACTGCAAATAACCAGTGATATCATTAAATCTTTCACATAATTATACATATTATTATAGTTAAGTTGGCTTATGAGTAATCAAAACTAATAAAAAGATGATTACACTGTCAACTAACCTCGAGAGTTTGCTCTCTTTGCCTCAACATCTGCTTGACGATCCCCAATTGGTATAGGAGAAGCCTGTAATTTTTAATTTTTTAAGTACATCGCATCAAATAAGCTCAGAATCAAACAATAGCAGGCAAGATAAAGTAAAGTTGGCTATTGAACCATCAGTACTTCAATCAACAATACATCCAAAAGTTAGATCCCAAAACCTACTTAACCCAATTTCCCCACTCCTATCACCCGAGATAACATTATACTAAAAATCAAGAAAGACACTTTGATATAATGTGTAGCACTTCCTGGTAACTCTTATGAAGCACAAATTTATATGATGCATTTGCCAAAAATTTATGTGGTAGCATGACAAGTACAAAGACGATCATTTACTGGTATCTTTAAACATACAAATGTTCCAAAATTATATTGTATATGAAAAAATGGGGAAATCATGTAAGCAAACACAATCACAGAGCAAAATAAGCCTTCTATGACAATAAAGGAAACAAAGATCATAAACCAACAGAGCGCATTGACCAAGTGAGTTAAGATTTTATAGTTTAACAGGAGAGACATGCAATGTTTAAAGAATGGATATCCTTTTATGCCACCAGCTTCATCTCTTGAGCAACATCCTTAGTTAAGCCTTAGACAGTAACACCCCTTTGCACTGCCAATTTAGTCAGGCCTTCTAAGAAGGACCTAACATAAGCAAATAGTCAAAGGCCAAAAAGTAAACAATATATTTATTTCCAATCTGGTTGAATCTGCAGTTGCAATCATAGAAGCCAGCAGATTGAATGCATTCACTAGAGATCATGAATACGATGAAGACAAAGGGTCTTTGTTTCTTATCTTATGATAAAATGCAATCCAAGTAACTGAAAATTTGTCAAAATAAACTAAATTAACTGAATTATCTTTTCGCCCAGATTAACCTTACGTCTTAAAGAATTCATTTATTGAAGTTCTGAAACCACTTAACAATACATAAACTTTTAAACCCTCAAAATTATAAGGCAACTGAATAGGTGCTATTCATCTAATGTAATTCATTAAGTTCCTAGAATATATTTATTAAAAAAGAAATATCTTGAAAGTTATATAGTATTCTGTGCACCTTCAACTGTCAACCGACTAAGTTCATTATTATGAAGTTGTAAAAAACCACTTCTGAAAAGATAAAATACTAAAACCCAAAAACTACAACACAAATTAATTGGTATCCGCAATTTATCCATTACAACTCAGTACATCCCCATAATATAGCTATGAAAGGAAACTGAGCCTGAACTAGAACAAGCTATATTAAAATTTCCACAACCAAAAACTTATCACCTCCATAAAATAACTGCATGCTATAAGTTCTATGCAGCCAAGAAAGTGTCAAATCTGAGTTTATAAACTTCTTATATAATCACCTGGTATGATACAGAACAAAGAAGTAAAGAACATACCAAGAAATTGATGGATCCATTACAAAACGACTAGGGCCAGCAGTAAGGCGGACATTATTTTGGACACACTAATTTTGAGAAATTCATGTAAAGCGATGAAGGAAGTGCCAGAGGAAGTCGTCAAAACAAATCTAGTGAATGTCTTGCTTGACAATATTTTTAAACATGTCTCCTCAGAATTAGAGTAATAGAAAACCTACTAATAGCTGATGTCATGCTCTCCTATGTTTCTATTGCCCTCAAAAATGGGGCAAAGACAAAGAAAATCTGTGAAATAAATTTATCCTCAGAGAGCACTAAGCCATAATTAGAAAATACATTTCTTTTTCTTCAAAGTGTAATTAGGAAATGGATTAGCAAAAAGGAACTCCCATTTCCCATAAATTGCCAAGAATATCTTCACAAGATATAAAATTGAGCTTATTTATTTAGTACACTATGATATAGACATACAACTAAAATTAGAACTTTAATTAAAATACTAATTTGAAGCAAATAATATAGAACACAATTTACAGCAGGGATAGTGAGGCAAAAAGTGTACCTCAAGTGCACTCTGCACCGAACTTGGCATCTCAAATGCAACAAAGCCAAAACAATATCCTTGCTGCAGAACACAAATATAGGACCTTTAAAAACTGCACAAAAAAGGTCATGTGTGGTACAGTAAGATATAATCCAAAACAAACCTTATTACTTCTGACTTGGATGCCATTTTTCTTAATAGGCCCAAATTTCTTAAATGCCTCCTCAAGCTGTGCAGGTGTTGCACTAAAAGATAAATTCCGTACATATATGGAGTAACCTTCAGCTGTAATGAGCAGAATATAAATAGATCATATATTTTTAAGCAAAACATACAAATACATAAATCATTAATATGTCTTCAAAATGTAACCCAGACATAGAAAAAAATATCCTACCACATTGAACTCTATCTCACCATAAATTAGCACCTTTGTGTCTCAATAGATAGTAAACATATCTTGTTCACAATGAGTTCACATGCATGTCTCATACCAAGCAAGAATTCTGAAAGTCCAGACAGTACTCTTTCAAGTCAAAGTAACATGTGCATACCTTCCTCATTCACGCTGCTACTTTCAGGAGCATTGTCAATACTGGTAGCTGAAGTTTCTGGTGCAGGAGCAGGTTTTGCTGAAACAACTGACTGCTGATCAGTATTTGCTGGTGGTGGCTTCACTTTATTGGTAGGGACATATGCTCGACTAGGTGTTGGATTACCTTTCGCTACTTTCAACTATATGAAACTCAGTCAGTATATAATTGTCAAAGGGTAACAACAGAAATCCCAAACGTTGCAAAAGATAAAACTAAAAACATCAAGAGATCAACTCACAATTGAAGCATATGATTTCTTCTGAGGAAGATCCTCCTCAGTCACAGTTGCTGAATCATCAACTGTATGAATCTCACTCTGAACAGAAACAACTGGTGGTTCAACAACTTCTTCTTCGATCACTGACCCTTCGTCCTTATCAGATGGATCATAGACTTCAGGACCATTATCAAGATCTTCACCTTCAATGGCGATTGCCCGGTCCACTGGAACATGATCGTGATCATGAGCAGGCTCTGGAAAAAAAGAAAAAAAGAAAAAAAAAAAAAAAAGAACAGTTCTATAATTCGAGTCTGAAGTTAATTTTAGCATGATCTTTCATGAGAATAGAACTATGCCAACCTGGTGCCTGAGTCACATTGGCTGTTAAAGCATTTTCATTAATGCTATTATTTGAGTCAGAATTGATTTGCAATGATTCACTCTCCTCAACAAATCTAAAAACATCATTCAAGACAAAGTAGCCTTTGTCTTGTGGAGCTAGAAAGAAAGTTTGAGTGAATTTCTTTCTCACATTGTCCTTTCCAGTTAAACATCCAGTCACTAGAACAATCACCCCTTTCTCATATGACTCCTGTGCATCAGCCGTTTTTATTTCTGCTATGCAATCTTCGTAATTCAAGGACAGAATCTTGTCATTGATTGCCTGCTCCAAGTTGAACAATGAAATTTTGTGATCAATTTATGCTAAAGCAGAGGTGTAAAATACATAAATTCAATTCAATTTTAACAAATTTTAATTGAAGGTCATATTTTACACTAATCAATTTAAACGAACCCCGAAGAATCTGTCATTGATAGCGAGACTGTTGTTTGGATAGGGTAACATTTATTTATAATCTGTACCTTCTTCAAGATATCACTTATCGGATGACACAATTTTTAAAATTTTTTTAATTTTTTTATAAATTTTATTTATCAGAAACTAATCATTTCCAGGCTCAAAAATCTCTAAAACCTACAACCTTAATTATTTTCATCGTCCATTCTTTCCAAACTAAGTAGCATCAGATTTCTTATGCCCTTTGCACATGCAACACAACTGAAATGCATAGCTCACACAATGATCAATGGATTAATCACTATAATGCATAGGTCCTCATCTAAATAGAACACCACTATTCAACCATGCCAGTTAAATGACCTAATTTAGTGTAACAATGATTGGATCCATCTTTAGGTATCAGCTGAAACCTACCAGTATCCAGTAAATACCTCATCTTCCAATTGGATCAGGATTTAGTAAAAAGTTTAAACAGTATGATGCAAAAGATTAAAATTTCAACATGCATTTATATAAATTATGTGCAAGTGTATTCCTACCGATCTTAGTTCCTGATAACTTACTTGCATGGTTGTCACTGTTGTCATAGCACCTTTGGTGTCTGGACGGCTTAGCAAACTAGAATCCTGGTAAAATCTGTGCACCAAACCCGGGGACTGGTGAAGAATATGGTAATACTGATCCACAAAGGCATTGCCAACAACTTGGGCACTTGGAGCTGCACTGCCTTCTTGCGCTGCCATCTACAAGTTAGGAAAACATTAACATATTAGCAAAACATATCTATAAACAAAAGATTAAATAAAAAGAACATTTCCAAAATGCACCAGGTGCCCCTTTCTGTTGAAAAGATTTTTTTTTTTTTTTTAAATAAAAAAAAGGCTACTATTTATGAATACAAGTAGTTATACTATATATTAAAAGGTACTTATAAAATAAACAAGAAATACAAATACAAAACAGAGGCAATTCCAGTGCCCCAGAAGACTAAGTAAATTAAGATATAGATTGTTTCAGTGTATAAGTGCACATCCAAGTTTAATATGAATACGCTATGAAACCGTGGAATCAAACTGGAATGGAAGGAGAGATTTCATAGTTGATCCGTGCCTTGGGTTCAGATAAACTTCATAAAGTAAATAGAACCAAAAGGTAAATCAGTCACAACTTAAGAAATCTCCAATCTAGTAATAGGGGTATCATAAACTAAGTACCACAACAGCTGAACCGTATAAATTCAGAAACAATTTGAATCAGTTTGCAAGCCCAGAAGCCATCAAAACATGTAAAGGAGACAAAATCCAAGAATGAAGATCTTTTTCTATCAACTCAAGCAAAGTGCGAGGTTAACTAATAAAAGCAACAGTCAGAAAGAGCAAAGCACACATACAGACACCAGATAGCTATTTGCAAAGAGAGACAAAAACAGCAAAAGACAAAGATAAAGTAAAAAATGCAACATACCCATAAGAAAAAGTCCACTAAAACAAGGAAAAAATTCACATTTAATCGCAATAACAAACCCTAATTCCATTAAAGCACAAAAACCCTGAAAAACCCTAAAGTAAACAACACAAAAATAAGAAAAAATAAATAAAAACAACCCTGAAAGAAAAATCGAATTTTGAAATATGGGTTTGATCCAGATCAGTGAGATAGTACAACAAACAATAAGTACAGATCAAAGGAAAACATAAGTAAATGAGGCGAAAAAAGTCGGAAAGAAGGAAGAAGTACCTGGTAAGTGGGTAGTTTGCGGTAGAGAAGAAGAGGGAGGAGGAGATCTTAAAAGAGTGAGAAAAAGAGAAACTGAGCAAGCGTGAGAACGAAGAAAAGGATGGAAGGACAAACAGAGAGAAAAGAGCAGAGATACTGAAGAGAGATTTAAGAGAAAGAGAAAAGATGAAAGGTTTTTATTTATATATATATAAATATTATTCTCTTGACAAATATTGTGACATGAGATCAAACACAGAAAGGTCACTTTGGCTTTTGGTTTTTGGTTTTTTTTTTTTTTTAATTAAAGTTATTTGAAATTGGTGATGAATTTCAGAATTTGGGTATTGACTTCTCTTGTGTTTTTTTAGGGTTTTATTAACCTAATTTTCAATTTCATTTTTGGCGTGAATACAAAAGGGTCGGTAAGATTAGATTTTATTTTTTTATAATTTATATAAAAATAGAAGTCTGAAATAGACTTTTACATAATTAGGTCCTCTATGAACCATTTCAGTGATTTAAAAAATCAATTAAATTTATATATTAAGGGGTAATTACATTGAGCCCCAATTTTTTTTTTTTATGAAATGATAAAAAAAAAAAAAAGATATAAATTTAGGAAAGAGTGACCTCTCATTATTATTGTTTTTTTAATCACAATTTCATCCTTCATGAAAATTACTAATAAAACATATATAGTGGGCCTATGGGAGACCCTTCAATCATTTTTTTTTTTATAAACAAAGCATTACTCCATCTTTGTATGTCTTACAGGTGATATCAGAAATATAGTAAGAGAACAATAAAATAGCAATGAACGTAAGATTTGTTTCAAGCATCCGAACCATTATAAAAATATCTCTTGTCAATATTTCATTTATGTTTCTTCAAACATATATCACCACTGCACTATAAGCAACTCTCATAATCATTTCACGTGTGACTTTTTAGTGTTTTACACATATGAAGTTGTTGGTATCAAAATCAAGCATCAACACCAACCAATATCATATTTTGAACAATCATCCATTACTACCTTAAACAACCAAACAACCATTCAAATTCAACAAGCAAAATCCAAAAACATTTCTACTTTTTTTTTTTTCCGTATAATCTTACATAATATTTAATGTTATAAGTTTATGTAAAATGTAAGCAAAAGTTTATAGATTTACAATGATGTAGAACAATACAGTAAAACCTCTCTATAGTCATAATGGTGGAACTAACTAATTTTATTACTATGAGGAGGTTATAACTTAATAGAGATTTAGTTACAAAAATTTATTATTTCATAATTCATGTTTTAATAATACAATATTAAGATTTCAATTCATGTTTTAATAGTATTAGAGTTTCAATTTAGCACTTTAATTGCCTATTTTTGAAACGGATAGAAGATCGTGTCTTGGAACCAACAAATATAAGTGTCTTTGATGAAATTGTAAATGCAGTTGTTGCATGATTAATTGATGTGAAGCCACGGACAATTGTCAATTGTTTTAAGCATTGCAAAATTAGGACCCCCAATGTCGATGAATTGCAATTTACAAGTGAAGTGAATGAGGAGAATCAAAGAATCATTGTAGAATTGAGTGATCAGATTTGACAGTTTCACTATACTAATTAAATAGATATTAATGTCTTCTTCAATCATCCAAATAAGCAACAAGTCACATATGCTTTAACTGAATAAAAAATCATTGCTACAATTAGACAAGAATATAAAGGAAATAATAATAAGGATGATAATATAAAAAATCTCATGTCAAGAAACTTTAAACATGCTTGAGAAACTATAAATGTTTTGGCTTCAACAAAAAAATGTCAATGCTAGCGAGTAATTGTACTTGCAAGTTAAAAGATGTAATAACAACTCTAAGAAATAAATCGTTGTCCCAAACAACTTTAGATAAATATTTTTATTTCATTTTAAACCTTTAATGTAATATAACATACATTTTTTTGCAATATACAAATAATTATTACTATTTGGAGGCAACTTTCCTTAAGATGAGAATTAAAAATATTATAGCTTATTACAATGTGGAGTTTATTCTTATTTGTAACTATCCCAAATTGGGAATAAATTTTTTTATGACTTTATAGAGTTTATTCCTATATAGGGTATCACCATAGAGATATACTTTACTGTATATAAATTACCATGCTCTTGGACCGACGTCGAAGTTTCCAAACTATGGACAAATATGCAAACATATGTTTCGTGCTTTTTGAGTAATAGCAACAAGATCACGATATCATGGTGAGAATAGTAGTGCGTTTGGTTTATTATTTTGGATAAGATTTTAGGAATAATATTGAATAGTTAAATAGGGGAGTATTACAAGGTAAAATTTAAAAATTTATAAAAAAGTTTCTAGGTTTACTAATTTAATTAAACACCCTAACATATAAAATGACAAAAACACCTCCACCACCTACAGTGCCAGACTTCGGCCACCACCGCCAAAAATTGGCCGAAAAATTGCGTTACGACACAGACGGGTCAGATCTGTGTTGTAACGCGTCGTTATGGCCTTTTCCGGCCAGATCCACGGCCTGTTGTGGCCGCCAACGGCCGGAAAAGGCCAAAACGACTGCCATCTTGACGGCTAGATTGGTGAACTACCGGCCAGTGGCCGTCGTGGTATAGGCCGTTGTACAGCTTCCGGCTATCACCGACGGTGGTTGCCAGAATCTGGCAAGTATGGGTTGATGGAGGTGTTTTTGTTTATTTTTAAACTTTTTTTGGGGGGTATTTATGAAATTAATAAATTTAAAGGGTCTAAAAGTAATTAAAAAAATAGTAATATTTATGGAATAATGTGTCAAACAATATTTGGAGAATATGATTGGAAATATGGGTAGAAATATTGAACCAAACGCACCCTAGAATTTTCTACAAAAGATAACATTTGTTCGATGAAAAATAAAAATAAATATCAATAATTTAAATGATAGAGACTGCATACAAAAAGCCAAATGTCATCTTGTGCCAACCGTTTTGTGTTTTGACTTTTAAATTGTAAAAGAAGGGAGGAAGAAGAAAGATAAGATGGGAAAAAGAGAAAGAAGAATAAACATGGACCATCAAAGATAATAAAATTTTGTTCACCCTGAACATCTAATACAGGGGATTAACGCTATATGAAAGCTAACATTCAGACAATTCAAAATTTTGTCCAAGACAATGCCATTAAGAAAAGCAGTAGTTAAAACATGTGCAATTCATCGGTGTGAATGAGAACAGAATTTCCAAAGATGGGTTAGTGTTTGGTTCTTTCAGAACAAAACAATTGCAGGGCAAAATTTTATTAGATGGGTTTGAAACCTGACATCATGCTTTTCTTTACTAAAATTCCCACGAAAACAGAAAACATATTCTTCTTCTGAAGGCTTACTTTTACTTGTCAGATACATTACCAAATAAAGCTTGGAGAGAAGATAAAAGATGAACTCTAACAACAATTCCTGCTGTCTAAACATTATCCTCCATTCATCAAAACAAACATAAAGAGAACAAACCCTTCATCTTGTTTCTGTACGAAATTTCAAGTCACTCACAAGCATGAAAAGAACTAGTAGAGATAAATAATCAATTTTGATTATTCGGTGAAATTCTCTTATATATACATAATGATAAGAATCCAAATTCATGCACTGAAACAAATTAACCAATCACTAAATATCGATTCCACGTCCAAGAAACAATGCCCAGAAAGCGCATTCAAACCTAACCCTCAAATTAAAATAAAGTAGCAACAGTTTCTCAGTTTTACTAGGACCCAAGTACAGAGAAATTGAAATTTATTTCTTATCATATCCTAACACTTCTAATAAGGAGTTAAGATATTGATGAATTGAAAAAAAGAAAAAAACTTTAAAGCAACGAAATATTGAAGAAGTTAGAGAAGAAAGAGAGAGAGAAAAGCAAACCACGTGAGGGCCCATTTCTCCTCGTCGTGAATCTGAGAATGCCAGATGGTTTTCAGCTTATCAAGAGAAATCACGGAGTCCGCCATTGACGCTCTGTTAGAGAGAGAGTGTCTGTTCGATTTCGATGCTAGGGTTTTGGGTTTAGAGGGAAGTGAAAAGAGACTCGGGATGAGAGACCTATATTGCATTGGGCTTTACGACGCAATTACCAAAAAACCTTAGAAGAAAATGACCTTAGAAGATGTAAAGCTATAACTTATATAACCTTCATACATCGGTCAATAGCGGTCAACATATACATATATTATTTTTAGAGCTTATTACATTTTTCCCCTAAGGTACCGTAAAATAAAATTCACCCCTCAAGTATCTGAATGACATTTTACTCTTATAGTCATTACTCAGTTAATGTTTTCATAATCTAATTAAACATTTTACATGTTAATCAGTTAAATTAAACACTAATCCTAACAAATATACAATAGGGGAAATTGTTATTTATGTACCTAAAGGCAAATAATAATTCTCCAAAAGTTTTGAAATAACTTAAATTTTAGGTGTTAAAAAAATAAATAAAAATATTCATAAATATAAAATTAACTCATAATAATAAAAGTTTTAAATGGGTCAATAACAGTGACAGATTTTTTTTTTTTTGAAAAACATTAGGATAATGTTTGTTATTAGATAAAGTCCAGGGGTAGTTTTATTTTTATTTGTTATTTTTCTTAAATATAGTAATTTGTTTGCATAAATTGGTAGATTTTCTTAAATAAGTGGATTCTCATTAACCAATCAAAATAAACTGCAAAAAAGGTACCACACTATTCTGACACGTGGATGTCCCAGTCATTTATCATCCACTTCGTGCTGTCCACCACTCATTCAGAATTCCAGAGAGATTCAATTGAATTGAAGAGAGTATGGAGGCCACAGCAATTTGTGGGGCAGAAGCGGAGGACTACCATCGCCATGCATCCATTCTTCTTCTCAAGAACGCCAAATTCATCTGCCCTTGTCATTAAATCCATGGCCACCAGAAAACCTCTTCCATCTGCCACAAAACCTCAGTCCAGAAAGGTCAGTTTCTTACCCTCTTTTTCTGCCATCGTGACCTTAGTAGATAATATGAGAGCATTACTCTTGTTTGGGTTGGCCTAGAAGGAAGAATTTTTCTTTTTACTTATACTATTCTGCTTTAGTATGTTGTTACTGGTGCTCATATCAACTGTAAGAACAAA